ATAATCGGGATGGATAAAAATATCATTAATTTTAATTCTAATCCCGTAATATACATACGTGGAAATCTGTTCTGTCGTCGTTCTTTCGCTAAATTGCTTGTTAAAATACAATTTCGAGACTTTAATTATTCACCGATTATGGATATGGACTATATAAAATATGTTTGAAACGCAATTACGATTATGAAGTGCAGACGGTCTATAAAGTGTGGATGACGATCAAAATATATAATGCAATTTACAGAGATTAAAAAGTTTGATGGATGCGAAAGATGATCAAAATAAAATAGAAGTTGGACGGATTAAAAAGTTGACTGAATAGAAGATCAAAATACGATATAACTTGGAAAGATTAAAGAGATTGCACAAGTTGATCAAAATAAGGTTCAACTTCTGAAGATTGAAGTTGCTAACGTGAACATGCTAACGCGATAAATGTATAACATGATATTAAGGATAAACTTTGAACGTGAAGTGATTATTTTTAAAATGAACTTAAAATGAATTTTCTATTTTCTGTTTTTCATGTAAAATATTTCAACTTGAATATCTTATGTATTTTTTTATTATAGTAGAATAAATTAAATAATTATATAATATTATATTATATTTCTAAATATGCAATATATTTTACATAAAAATTTCTAAAATTAATAGCATTTTTGTTATTCGTAATTATTTTCTAATTTTGATTCAATTAGATAGTTTTAAATTCAATTAATAGGTACTTATATCTATCATAAGTGGTTCCAATGATTGTCATCAGATGTCTCTTTAACTTTTACTTTCTCGCAAGTACTTATCTTCAATCCAATTGTTATATACAAAAATTCGAAAAATTACAAATTATAATATATTCCAAGTATCTGAGACAAGCATAGTATACTTTTTCTTCAGTTCACATTTTCTTTAACGTTTCTCTTTCCATTCTTTCATCACTGTAGCAATAATCTAAGAACGCGAGCAAAAAAGATGATATATATTCTCTCTTCAGTGTCTCATGAATTAATCATAGTAGCCACTTCCTAATAAGCTACGTTGAGATATTTTAAGTTAAAAAAAGTACAAAAAAAGGATGTGCTATATTAAGAATTTTAAAAGTAGGAGATTAAAGAAAATAGTAGAAGAATTTTAAAAAATAAACTATATTTAAAATTTCTAATAAAGTACATTGAAACTTTTTAGATAAAATTTACTAGAATTGTGTATATTAAGATTCATGCCAAAAAACTATACAAAGATTAAATATAATGGATTCTATCGAATGTTCCATAATTAGCTCTACCAGTTGAATTTTGCAACACTAACTCTTCAATTGTGTTATAAGCCACGAGTTTAAGAACCATTCGATTCACAGAATCGATATTTAACCGAGATGATGGCTCGTAATGTGCAATCTGACAGAGAGCATCTCGAGTGCAAAAACCCATTCGTGTCCACCGTAAGTGTTGAGGATAATTTCGACGAAAAATCGAACGTCTTATCTAACAGAGGTTAGATTCTTCACCGTGCTTCTGCTGTCGTAAAAAGCTTCGAATCGTAGGAGAAGATAAAAGTTCCGGTTAGCCAAATCGAAGTCGAATTTATCGCATCGTTCGATCTCTTGGTTCGTGCTTCGTGTGATATATCACCCCTTCGTGAGTTTCTCAACCACGATACATTTAAAATACAGTGGAAATTTATTGCTCGATAAAAAATCGAAAATCGTGACGATGGTTTTCCGATCAGACCAATTAAAATTGGTCGAAGATAATCAATTTATGAGCAAGAGGAAATTATGTTTTTATTCATTCGAATTACTTTTTTATTCTTTTGGAAAAATTGAAGAAAATTTAGAGAAGGAATTAGAAAAGAAAAATACTTTTTTACTAGTAGTAAAAAAAGAAGTTAATTTTTAAAATTGCGATTTAAAAAATATTATCATTTAAATCAAAAACCATAAGTTTATCATACTACAGAAAAGAATATTTTATCTAACAAACTCTTTTTTATTTTTTTCCCTGTCTTTTCTCCCCTTCTTAATACTTCTTTTTCTTTGCTTACAACTTCAATATTTAGATAATTTCACCATGATTCTTATCTCATTCACGCTAGGGAATTATATGTGCGAATTGCTTAAAGTTTAAGATTACACAAACTATTAAACTTCGGGGAAATTCGGTGGAGATCGGGTGAGATCTCGTAGTGTTTGAGATCTGAAATTATTTGCGAAACAAACATTTTACAAAAACTGGATAAACTTTATTACAGTTTCCACAAATTCAAAAAAAATTCTCACGATAAAGAAAAGAAAGTCTTACGTCTAGGGATCCCTAATGTTTATAGTAACTTTTTTTTCAGAACTCTTCTATGAATTTTAATTTTAACTTTCAGAATCACTTGAAATAAAATTTTCTTTCCTTTTTGAAAGATCTGGATCTTTTTCTTTAAACTTTTCTAAATTTTAGAAAAATTTTAAAGGATTTCTTATTTATCCGAATACGAGAAACATTTTATCTTACAAAATTTTCTCTCAATTTTTATAAATACCAAAAATATCATCATGTTCCACGTAAAGGTCTCATTTTATCTCGTTGACCAATTACTCAATAATAGAATATATATTTTCTCGTAACTCATATATTATTTCTATTTAATTCATATAAGTGTCTATATATATATATATATATATGTATCCATCCACGATAAAATTTTCGTGAATTCACTGGCTTAAAAAAAAAAAAAAGAAAAAAAATGAATCGAACTTTCCTCGACTAATAGCAGTATAGTGCACGAACGTTCTTCCTGAATAGCAGGAAAGCAAATCGAACTGGCTGAACCGGATGATGAGATTGGGAAAGGAAATACTCGATATTCTACAATGCGATAGAGATGGACAGACGGACACAGAGAGAAAGAGTGAATGTGATCGCGCGTGTGCGAAATTACGATAGAATGTGAAGATAGAATTGAAAGAATGAGAGAAAGAGAGAGAAAGAGAAGTGAATGAGAATAAGTGGGAGGAAGAAGAAGAGAACGATCGGTTTTCATCATCTGACCTGTTAACGATCCCCATTGAAGGATCAAAAGGTTAGAATAGCTTCTTGGAAACATCGAATAGAATACTTTTGTCGGATATTTGAAGCGAGATGGGAATGGAAAATAAAGTTTTTCACCGTGGAAAGGAATCCACGTGAAAAGAAAGCAATTTAGTTACGTTTCTCTTCTCGGTCGATATTACAGTATAATAATTCGACGAAAAGAATTTCCTAGATATTTTACTATAGATTGTGTAGATGTGTTTATGGTTGGTGAATTTTTGTAAACTTTTTACTCGATAGTTTTCATTAAATTTTATCTAATATCGAATTCGAAGGAAGAAAAAATTTTTTTTAAATCTTCTTTTTGTGTCTTTTCGATATTATTTTAGGAGATTAAATCTTGAAAATGTTGAAAAAGAATTTATTCTTTCATCACTTTTAGAGTTAAGAAATGGTTAATTTTTTATTAGCATAGAAGGATGTGATTCTATCTGTTTAAAAGATAAAGAGGAATCGTTAATCTTCCTTAGGGATATTTAGGAATATTTATTTTCCCCTGCACTGCATGATGTTAATTTTTTATAAGTATATACAAAATATGTAGATAAATGAAAAATTAAATAAATCTTTCATAATGGTAATTACGATTATAAATAGTAAATAGAGATTTTGCATTTTTTATTGCACCTTTAAAAGTAGATTCATCTCATTTCTGAAAGCACATTTAAGACGTAGAATTAACAAATTTCTATTAAAATTCTGTAAATTGAACAATAAATAAATTTGAACATCGCACAATTGTATAATATTCATTGTAACATAAAATTAAGCATGATGAACACAAATTTGATGACAAATAAAAGCACGATCATAGATATGTATATTAAAAAGGGGAAGATTAACGATTTTTATTTGTGTAAATAATTCATTTTCATCTCGCATTAAAGTAGTATTTTTTTTTTTAAATTCATTACACATATCTTTCTCGAAGAGAAAATAATTTTTGAAAAATTAAGATTAATATTTTTGCAAGAAGAGATAATTGATTAAATATAGATATATATATGTAAAAATATTTAAAATGAAAAATCCATTATCTATTTTACACTTGTAAAAATTTTTAATTCTAAGAATTACAAATTCATTAAATCAGTATCTTTATTATGCAATTCTATGCTTATATTTCGTTTCGAATTGTAATCTTCGCGAGAATATCAACAGTAAAAATTCTTGGCAAAAAAACTTTATAAAAACGAGATTTTTACATCTATATATTTTTTATGAGAATAAAAGCATGTTATGTATATAAATTCAATTTTGAAAAATTAAAAAAATAAAAGAGAAATGTACAAATTAAACTTTTAAAAACATTTGTAATTGGGATTAAAAACTTTGACTGTTGATAGCTTGTCATTAAATTAATCGAATATTAAAATATGAAAAACTTAAAAAAGATATATATGTAACTTGATATGATAAATTTTTACATTTACTTCGTATTTGAAAGAAAAAATTTTACTTAATTACTAAGAAATTTCAATGAAACAAAAATATACACAATAATTTCAAAAATAAAATCAAGAATCCTAATTCGAACGGTCAAAGATTCCGTATTCCCAACTGCATCCTCCAAAAATCTCCAAAAATAGTATGTATGCGATATCAGCGCCTTCAGTGAGTGAAAAAGAAAGCTTCAGTGAGATTGAAACCCGAGTGTTAAAAATTGTTGCCGTAAACGAGGCAGAAAAAGCGAGAAAAATTAATCTTTCCCTCCCTACCCCACTCCCAAAGAAAGAGAAAAATAAACAAACACTAAGAATAAAAATTAAAAAAAAAACAATCAAAAGAAAAGAACAAACGAGAAACGTGAGAGAAACAGAACGAAAGAATTTTGGCAGATGAACGAGCGAATGGTGGTAAACGAGAGGGAGAGAAAGAGAGTGAGAGAGGCAACCCGTCGGGGTTCTGTCTTCTTCGCAGGTTATCGGAGCTGTACCGTCGAGACACTTCCTCGAGCCATGGAGAATCGTTGGACAAGGATGCAGCCGGTGTGAGCGCGACATCGACCACTTCAGAGTCTTTGGAGAGCAATGGCCTCGATACCGAGATACCAGCCGCTGCAAGAAGGCCTCGTAGCACTAGGGGCTCGCAAAAATGGAGTAACGTACGCGCCGTCATGGCGCTATATTCCTCTCTACGCAAGATCAAGAGGTACTCCCGCCATTGCTCGAATATGGACGGTAACCTCTGAATTGCACCTCTCTCACCCCCTCACTCCGCAGCAACTCGTCTACACGCCGGTCTACATGCCGGCCTACACAATCCGACACGTGTACACACACGATCGTTGTCGTCGTACATGGTACACAAGAGTGTTTCGCACGTTCGTCGCTACGAGGCGACTTCGTTTACTGGACACTGTGTAGCTGGGATGGATTACGTGGGTTTGAGTCGTGGACTTGAAAAGAAATAGTGTTTTCTTTCTTTTTTCTTTTTTTTTTTCTTTTTTTTTTTCTTTTTTGAAGAAGTCTGGAGATTGAGTAAAGAAAGTTAGAAGCGAGACGACGTGCATTGGATATATTAAGGTGATATATAATAATGTAGAAAAGAGGCAGAAGTTATGTTTCTTTTGATGTTCTATTTTGTTATTGTTATTTGAGGATTTTTTTAATATATATGAAAACGTTAATATTTGATATATATTTTTTAGTATAATATTGTAAAAAATTCTTGTAAAAAAATGTTAAAACAATTTATAGATTTATTTTTCATATATCATTTATAGATTAATAATTTTCTTTAATTTATTTTATTACTTCTTTCTTTCCAATAAGCTTCAATAATCTTTATGTATAATTAAGTAAAATATTCAAATTCTGTGCAAAATACACATAATCCCAAACATAAGTTACGTAATATTCTGTACGAATTTGGTATTTTTACCTTTTAATTACTTTCCTATACGAATTTGGTATTTTTACCTTTTAATTACTTTTGGAAAATAAACTTGTTAAAAATAGTTCCTCAAACAATTTCGAAATAATCCAGAATGTTATTTACGACTCTAAATACCAAGATCTATTTTCACCCATCATTTTCATCCTAAATAATACATCTCTTACTTCGAACTGTTCCAACGTCTCTCGCTTTTAACCCACGCACTCAAATTATTCACATTCGGTCAAAAAGTCCACGTCGTATGCCATAATCCAGCCACCCACACACACGTCACACGTCTTTCTCCCTCTTCTGGCAAAGCGACACGCGTTCATGCAGTACTTACGTACACGTTCCACTCGTTCACTATGTAAAATTTCCAAGATTCATCAGCGTGGAAGCAACGAAACGGGTCACTCATTTTGGAAAAAACTATTAAAAAAAAATTTTGTTTTTCGTCTCTCGTGTCTTTAATATCCGCCAAGACTTCACTTTGACGTGCCATTTGCAAAATCCTCGTGGATCTCTTCTTGATATTTGGAATACCAATAATGAATGAAATATCATTAATTGATGTTTTAAATCTTTCTTTGTGCTCTCTATTGGCTTATTTGATTTTTCAAAGAAACGAATATGTGATTAAATTTGATTTGATCAATTGATTGTGTCAACTGTTTGGTCGTGATGTATTTTTAAGAATTAAAAATTTGTTGAAGTTTTTAAAATTATTCAAATTTTTGAAACTTTATTATTTCAAAATATTGTTTTTATTGATATATTCAATAAAACTTATTCAATAAAATCAATTGATTTTTTTAAGAATGTAAAATTTATCATAAAATTAATATGGCGCAGAATTATTAAAAGATAATTAAGATTTTTTAGCAACAATTAAATTTCGATTAGTTTTATAATTTATATTTCTCAATGAAATCACAATTTTTAAATTACCATTAGATTCTATATCAAGTTCTATACCTGTTTCGTTGCTTTTTATCTTGTGAACAACAGACGTTGATATAAAGGAACCAAAATAATGGCCAACCACTGGTCACCGCAATTCTATCCTCTTTGATCTCTTCTTCTTAGTGTGGAATATCGATTCAACCACTAAATACACTATATACTTTATTATGGATGATACAGTAATGGCCGATCACTGTTCGTACTTTCAACAATCGTTTTGGGATTTGGATGAAATAAATCTTGTTCCTTCGAATTTTTAATTTTTTAATTCTTGTATACAATAATTACACTGTCCATGGCATACAGTGTAAAAAATGGATAAAAAGAAATTTATTCTGGGATAAGTATGAATTAAAAAATTAATAAAGACAATTGTTTTTAAATGATTAAGTAATATGTAAAAATTTACAATTATTGAATTAAAGTTAATTTATTTTAACAACTTGTATACATTTGTAAATAATTATACATTTTTATTTCAAGATGATAGAGATAATATTTTTCGAAAGATGATTGACTTTTATCACTTCATCAAGAAACTCTGTTTGAGACTTCCTATAACTTCCTATGTTTCAAAGTGCTATTACGGCTTACATTATGAAGTTTACAACAGTGAACGTGAAGCTTTAACGGTAAGAACGTGAAGATCGTAAAAATTTGAAGACATGATCCAAGTTTCCTTGCACTTTCACAAAAAATAAAAAATTTAAAACCATTTCAAATCTATCTACTATTGTGACAAACAAAATTATAAAATTCCTGTAATAATATATTCAAAAAAATTCGAAATTAAATAAAAGCAAATAATTAAATTAAAAACAAATAATAATTATGATTAAGATCTATGATCGAGATTAAAATAATTCCTATTTCCACTTATTACAATTTAATTTTTCCCGCCAAATATAAATAAAAAAAAAAGTGTTTTTTGGAACTCACATAAATCATTCTCACGTCTTTATAGCGACACATAAATTCAAGCATCGGTAGTTTAATATCCGAAAGAGAAGAAGAAGAAAAAGAAGAGACCAAGAGTTTACGATCGTTTTTTTTTACGACGTTCGAAGGAACACGATAAATTCTCATCGTTATAGTTTATCTTATCTCTTCGACATGCAACGTTGTTTTTGAGCCATCGAGAAGGGAGAAAGAAAAGAAAAAATAATTTTTAATGGACAAACAACACGGAAAGAATTTTTTTTCTCTAGTAATTCTCACGATCCGTTTTAATTCCTGTACAATTTAATCTAAAGTTTCCATTCGATGTGAGGTTAGGTTAGGTTAGGTTAGGTTTATTTGGAACACTTAAATGTCACGATTATTAAGCTTGTACGATGAGATACATTTTTTTGAGACTATTCAATACAGAATAGTAGTGTGAATAAGTAGTAATATTGCATAATTCTGAGTCATCTGTTATGTGAAATATAAAATATATGATATTGCGTTTTTTATGATCTGACATTAAATCTATTGCAAAATTTATTTAATTCCAATTATTGTGAATAATGGATACGTAATTTCATGCGATGTAAATATATTAAACGTGAAAATGCTATTCCTATTAAATACAATTGATTGCAGATTATAATATATTCGTTCAACAATTGTGTGTACTCTGATAACAATTAATAATTCGATTTTATATAAATATTATATTAATAATATATTACTAACATCCTACTATTAATACATTAATCTGTTTTTTATATACATTTATGCATTTGCATATTAATTTGCATAAATTTTATATATTACATAGATTAATATTATAATAATGAAAAACGTGTTATTTTATTTAATACTAAATGTCATTTAAGTCGTTCTAAATAAATTTAATAGCCACAAATCCTCGAAATTTACAATCGTCTCAATACAATTACACGCGTGAAACAGGAATAAAACAGGTAATGAGAATTTGGGTAGCAGGGAAGCGAGAAGAAGAAGACGAAGAATAAAAATAAAAATAAAAAAACCAAAAATTAGTATATCGTTAGAGAACAATTGGAGAGAAATGCACGTGTTGAAATTGGATTGCAAGCATCCTTGGCATTTGGCATGCGTTAACAAAGAGTTCCATAGAAGTTTATTTCTTTTTAGTATCACTTCATCAAAGAGACGACTACGTGTCTTCTGGCGACCTGATTCTTGAAAACAAAAAAAAGAAAAAAGAAGAAACGAAATAAAAAAAAATTGGAAACACGTTTCGATACGTGGTTAATCGCGCGTTCGGCCAGAAGATTGCTCCTTTCACTTCCGTTTCCGGTCAAATAACGGAAACTGCGTTCCCAATGTCGAACTTTTAACGCATTATCGACCCAACACGCGCGTTTCAGTTCACCAATTCCCTTCTGCGAGTTTTGAAATCAGAATCAGAGGGCAAACGAATTTTGCAAACAATTTCTTTACCACGATTGAGGTAATTATAACCACGAGAGAAAAATTTGACGAATCATATTGCGTGACAAGAATTCGTATTCCTCGATGGATAATGAATTTATCGAAGAGAAACAATTGTTTTTTATTTTTTATTTATATGAATCAAAAATTTGAATCTTGTTGATTTAAAATTAATATGATTCGCAAAAAAGAATTTTTTTTTTTTGGATAAAGAATTCTAAATTGACTTAATTTTTGTAGTAATCTACTTTTTTGAGATATTTTTGAGATATTTTTGAGATATTTTTTTTTTTTTTGAGTTATTTCTCTCTACATACGTTTAATTATATTTTTGAGATTTATATAATATATCCATAAAAAATAGAAAATCGACAGAAATGAACTTATCGAATTTTTCTACCGTGGTTTTCATGGAATGTGCTCGATCGTTGGTCGGTAATGTATTAAAAAATTAAATAAAAGAAAGAAAAAAAAGAATCCTCGATGCACAATACCTTTTGCATGAGAAGTTAGATTGCAAGATACGTAGAAATTTGTATCGATACGTAGTTGCAAGGAATTTTTATAAATCTTTTCATTATAGGCCTGTGACAAGGGAAATATACATCGTATGTGATGGGTTGTGCACCGATTTTTTGAATTTATTAAATTTTCGATTCTTTTTTCTTTTACAAAATGTAAAATATTTATTGACGAAAATTTCTATTCCTTTTTTTTTTTGAAATAACAAAGTAATAATTTAAATTTTTGGAATAAGATTCAAAAGAAATAAAATTCCCAAGAATAGCCAATAATAGTAATTAAAAAATTACATTTACCTTAAAATAAATAATATCTGAAGAAGAAACGAAAATTCTTAAAAAATGGGTACACAACATTTTGCAGTAAAATATCCAAAAATATATACATAATAAGAATAAAAAATAAAAAAATTTTCTAATAATTCTAGAAGAGGGTACGTCTCATCTAAATTATCGAAAGAGAGATATCCCCTCTTCCAAAAGTGTAATAACTAACTTCGTAGAAAGATAAACTGCTGAACATTCTGTTAGATTAGAATTCTCATCATAAAGATGGCGGTACGCTGACCTTGATCCTGATCTGACAATGCTGATGCTTGACGCCCCCAATTGCCTCCCTTCTACCAGCTCGACTCGAATTAGAGAAGAAAGACCCGAGAATCCAATCACCAGAAATGTTTCTTAAACATACACGCAAAATGCATAAAAAAAAACCGCACACACATACACATACACACACAGAGAAAGTAACATATACATAACACATGCATACACACAACATGGGTGTGTTAAAGAATTTAAAGAATGCGTAGTGGCATAATAAAAGTTTATTACCTTTAGTTTTTCTGCCTCTGTCTATATATATAACGTACTTGAAAACTCTCTCGATGTTTCTGTCTCTGTCTGTTTGTCTATATCTGTCTGTCTGTCTGTCTGCCTCTGTCATCCATCTGATAACTTTAAAACTCGTTCTTTTACTCGATTCTCGCTCACTTCTTATTTCACCATTTAAATCTGTCATCATCATCTGCGATCTATTTACCTGTAATAGAGTTTAGAGAAAAAAAAGGAAAGAAAAGAGCAAGAAAGAAAGAAAATGGTATGACGATAAATAGAAAGAATCGACGTTTCGTGAATGGTGTGTTTTCTTTAAATGGGTTTTTATTGTCGAATGGAACGCAAGTAGGATCTTTTAAATATGCCTGCTTGCAACAATATCATAGATATTATTATATACAATATATATACATATATATCCATATAGCAAAATCGTGTGTTGTGTGGAACGAGATGTTTTCAGAGAGATATGCTCCTTAGCAAGAGGTCTTTGCATCACGATTCATGCATGGGTCTTGCAAGAAAGGTTACAACGAGAAATCGAGCAAAATTTATTCGATTAAGCGTATCTTTTTATTTTATTTAATTTTATTTTAATCGGTTGTGAGAAAACGAATTTTTTTGATTTCTTATTTATTTAATACATAGCTTCATAATTGTAGCTTATTATACGTCAAACGCGATTTATTTTAACGGAATCGAGATGAAAAAAAATTTTTTCTTCTTTTCTTTTCCTTTCACTTCGGCTGGAATGGAATCTCATTGGCCGATTCGTTCTCAAGTTTTCAATTTGATTTCTTATTTCTGTCTTTTTCTTTCCTTTCTTCCTTTTTGCACGATCGATTCGATCGTGGTTAGTTAATTGTTCGGTTCCGTATTTTTATGAGGGGGAAGAAAGAAACGATCATTTCGGAGGAGCTGGTGATTTTAATTAAAAGTAGTTTGTCTATATTTGCGGAAGAGCTTTTAGAATTCTTCCAAAGGCATCCATAAATTTTATGGAGAGGTTAGAACTGTTTTAGGAAAAGCGCCTCCTATTGACCTGAATCTGTTTTATCGTGACGGGACGCTTAAGAAGTAAAAGAAAAATTTAAATTTATTTGTTATTTATAACAAATAATTATATTGTATTTTTTCTATTTTTTTTTTAAATCTGAATCTATTTCTTATTTTTTTTTTTTTTTTTTTTTTTTTTTTTTTTACAATTTCCATTCTTCTTACTTTTCGAAAATTTCTCTGTACTACTCTGAATTTCTCGAAAAGAGAAACTTTCTCGCTTTCAAAATTTACTTTCCTCTCAATTTTCCAAGAAACACAATTTATCCACTTTCCTACAATATTTCTATTATCGATTTCTAATACTAGCATAATTCTAACATAAATTCACTCTTTTTTTTTTTCAAAATTTAAAACTTTTTCAAGAATGCAATTTTTCTATATCCTTGTAATATTTCTAATTGTCATTCCAATCCTACACATAATCCTAATTTCAAGTCACGATTACTATTTGTCACCAAGAAGATCTTACAAGTCCCTAGGAATCACGTGACTTTACCTACATGGCGCTCGAGCGCCAAAATGGCGCAGACCAATTCCTAACCTATTTCACCGTGCACACATCGAATCCCTAGTGCTTAGCTGAAATTTATCGCATTTGGCAATGAAAATTCGCTTGTTGGAGATGCTTGTTTAAATGAAAAAGTAGAACTGTGATGAATTCAATAGATATTCTACTCTACAAACGAACAGTAATATAAAAAAAATGAATTTAATATTCGTATTCGTAAATCATTGCGAATTATTGACTTCTGGTAATGGAACAAAGATCTTTTTTCTAATCAACTTTTAAATAGATTACTAGATTATTAAAATAAACATAAAAACTCTGCAGAAATTAAATTTTAATTCGAACAAATTACAAAAAAAAAAAAAAAAACAAAATAATCCACATGGACTAAAAAATAACCTAAAAATAATCAAATCCTTCGAACATCCCATCCTTCAGCGAAAGAATAAAACATCCCTGATTTTCACCAAATCGAAAAGTTTATTCTTCCCTCATCCTGACAAGACTACCCCCACCAAAAAGAGCGCCACGAGGTAAGCACGCGTGAACACGCGAAACTTCCGAACCATCCAAATCCACCCACTCCTCCCCCCTCCCCCTCATCGTTTCATCCCTCATCTGGCGATCTACTCCTCTCTCTGTTCCCAGAACGAAGAGCAATCAACGTTGGATGAAGCTGCGCACCACCGTCCAATTGTCATCCGCCATCTCGACGATCCAGAAGAAACCCCCTTTGAAGCGGGAGGACTCGTTCCTGAAGAGGTTCTCGACCAGGCAGATACCCGAGAGCCAGGAGACGTTGGACACGGGCGAGGGGGAGGGGGACGCGGCCGACGACAAGGACTCGAGCGGGAGGCGGCGAAGAAGGCCTCGAAGGCTGCAGAGGCCACCGAAAACCGTGGTCAACCCGGACGAGAACTTTTATTATTATTGGCTTATGCTTCTCTCCGGCTGCGTGTTGTACAATCTGTGGACGTTGATCGTGCGCCAAAGTTTGCCCGAGTTGCAGGCGGTCGCCCCGGCCACGTGGCTCGCATGCGACGGTTTCACGGACCTCGTCTTCTTTCTCGACGTCGCCGTGCAATTCCGTACCGGTTACCTTGAGCAAGGTTTGATGGTGTACAACAGCAAGAAACTGGCAGGCCACTACCTCAAGTCGAAATCGTTCGTGTTGGACCTGTTGGCCTTGTTGCCCCTCGACCTACTCCAGGTCAACCTGGGAAGCAACCCGATGCTCAGGTTCCCGAGATTTCTCAAGATATACCGGGTGTACAATTATTACTACATGGTCGAGTCGAGGACGGTCTACCCGAATCTGTGGCGCGTGTTGAATCTGATACACATACTGCTTATACTGGCGCACTGGTTCGGCTGCTTTTACTACTTGCTCAGCGAGGCGGAAGGATTCCAAGGGGACTGGGTCTACCCGTACAGGCCGGGGGAGTACGCGACCCTGACAAGGAAGTATCTCGGCTCGCTCTACTGGTCCACCCTCACCCTCACCACGATCGGCGACCTACCCACGCCGGAGACCAACGCCGAGTGAGTGATAATGTCTCTACGACTGTACACGCTCTTCCTTATTTTCTTTTTTTCCTTTTCTTCGAATTTCGTTTTGGTTTTCGTTTCTTTTTTTTTTTTTTTTTTTTTTTTTTTTTGGTCTTCTTGCGTGTTAGGTGGGTGCGAGAGAATTCTTGCGTTATTTCTTATGATATGGAAAAAAATGTTTTTTAGGTTAGGTTTTAGGATTATTGGCTACCTTATGCATTTTTTACAAGTATAATTTAGATTAGGTTAGGTTAGGTTAGTGCAGGATGATTCTCGTAAAGTGTTGCGAGAAGAATTTTAAACGGAAGTTATATAGTACGAAAAAGGAATATACTTATTATATATTATACTTTATACGTTTTGTATAAGTATAATTTAAGTTAGGATGATTCTAATTAATTTTAATTTCTCGTAAAATATTTGTTCCAAAAGAACGAGAAAAGAATAATTATCACATAATTTTAGGTTAGGTGCGAGATGATTCTCGTAAGCATATAATACAAAAAATGTACGGTTATTTTACGCCATGTTGGATCAGACTACGTGAGAAATAGAACAATCTTTTAATAACGTTAAACTCCATACTACGATTATTCAACAACTCGATCGTAGAGAAATTGTATGTATTTAAATCCACAAATTTTCACGAACATTTTATATGGTTTGAACGTTGCCAAAGTCCAAATATATCTGCACCCACCTAACACGCATACTCTTCACATATATGTATATATATATATATATCTTTATACATCTTTCTTTTATCTCTTTATGGGCTTGACAATTCTTTCGCCTCTTATACATGCAAACTCTTGTCCGTGTCTGTTGTCCGTTTGCTCGTCGGTTAGACGGTTACTCGTTCAAGTGTTCGCCACACAGGGCGCGGCAATCTCTAACTAGATATCACCCAATCGACACTCGAGACTTGAGAGAGAATGGAATACCGCAGCGTCGTTGATTTATACACAGGCACAGTTGGTCCGATTTACACGGATACGATCTGCGCAGGCAGTCGGGTTTTTGGCAAAGCAAAAACCGTTTCCAATGTGGGTGGAAATGGTAAATTCTGAGAATTTGCGGGTGATTTTTGACAGTTGGGAGTTTGGGAATTCGGAGGGAAAGTGGGTCGTGGGGAATTTAAATTAGGTCGGGATTTGAATCGTGTTGGAATCGGTGTTTGTAGCGTAAGTACATCGAAATAGGATTACGATAGGGGAACAGAAAGATAATCCTGGAATAAATATATCCGCAAGGAGAAAACAATTTTTCGTGCGTATTATTTTTTTTTTTTTTTTTTCTGTGACAATTTTTTAAACTTGGATAAAAAGTATCGAGCGATTTAATATAGTTATAGAAGGATTTTTTTTTAAATATATTGGACAATTATTATTTATAAATTGAATTTTATTTCGGATTTCTTAAAAAAATATATCAGAAATATAAATTTCTTTGTATAAAAATAAAAATAATCAAATTTGAGAAACAATCGATCTGTCATAACGAATCTCACGATATCCCATTATTCTCATTAAACGTATATTTTAAATCGGATCACCAAACAAAAATATTAAAATTAATTGTTAATCGAAACGATTCGTTATTCAAATTATTACTTTTTAATAAAGTACATCCAATCGATGCATGCAAATATCGTGCAACTCGAGTCTATGATCGAGACGATGGCAAATATCATTCGAATAATCGACAAATCCAGACGAAATATCCAAGAATCGGTCACGACACTCCTTCAAATACATTTCCTCGAGTTGAGGGGGAGGAGGGGTTAAGCCTCTTTAGAATCGTGAAAAAGCAAACAAGCTCGACTAAGCTCGGATAATCGGATAGAGCCGATGAATATGGAAAAGTAAATCCAACTACCGATTCTTTTTTTTCTTTTTCCCCTCTTCTCCTCTTCGTTTGTTCTCCCCTCCTTTCTTTTCTTTTTTTTTTTTTTTTTTTTATTTCTCGTAACATCGTTCTCGTTCTTCCTCGATCGAGAGAATGGCTTTCCCGATAAATTCGATGACAAAAAAAGGATCTAATAACGTCGCGTGTTCGAATTTTCCATTAATTGCTCTTAAACGTTTCAGTTATAAAGGGGATAGTTGGTGATGAGTGGAAAAAAAAAAAAAAAAAAAAAGAAGAGGGAGGGAAATTGAATTAGCTCGCGCGTATAAATTTCGATCTGTTAAAGGTGATGGAGGCAAGTGGTCAATTTGCATCCGCATTCTTGATAAAGAGAATCCCATAAAATGAAAGAAAAATATATCTATTAGGACGAAAAATTCATTTGTGTTTTGGATAATTGAACAATGTTTGTTTATTCGTTGTTAACGAGTTTGAATTAACGATTCGAAAGAATATTCTTGGAATGTTTTAATTCTTATTTTGTGAATAAAAATGAAGTTATCGATCGAGAAATAAGGTAAAATTATCGATCGAGAAATAAAATAAAGTTATCGATCGAGAAATAAAATAAAATTACCGATCGTATTGAAAAGAATAAAAATTATTGATATATGAAATAATTTTATATAAATGTATAATCGGATTAATAATCGAAGATTCTTCGAAAATTATTTGAAAATTATTTAATCAAGTTATTATTATTCTTATTGTCGTTTAATTTTATAATAATCCGAGTAAATATTGATGTTGAAAAAATAATAAGGATCGGTCAAGGAAAAAGAAAAAACTGTTATAACTTGTAATATATGATGAAAGTTCCCCTTTATACGGTTAAATGTGGTGTCTTTTAAGTGGTACTGCCATTTTGAAGCAATTCAAAAGGCTCGAAAGAAGTAGTACTTACAGAATTTTAACCAGGTTCTAAGCATATTTTATTCACTGCAACATTATCACGTGAGTGGCGCTGCAAAGTACGAAGTTAGAACTTAAAGAGTTAAAGACGACCACTTTAAATCTGAAACATCTAGTAATATTCCAGTCTGGATATATTACAAGTTTCCTCATTTTGAGGTTATGAATCGAGACATGTTATAAATAATAATTAATTGATATCATAAAATATTCAAAAAGTATTCATAATGTATTTCTAACTTATTTGGAAACTATATAAACATAATTTTTTATCTATATTCGTATTTTCTTTCTTTTCTTTTTTAACAGTTATAAACGAATATATGGATAGCATAGAATACAAAAAATAGAAAAGTAAATAAAAAAATTACAAGTCATAAAAAGAATTATGTTAGTATTATTGGATATTTATATATATATGTACACGAATAATAATGCGAAGTTAAGTGAAATTTGAATATATCGCATTGAAAATTTAAAGTCGACACCTTTGCCTTGAGAGGTTAAGTCAGGCTGTCACTTCGGCCGCGTGACGTAATAAGGTTTTCTAGCGTGTTGCTGATAGTTTAGAGTCACGTACATTCACGTGTTGCTTTTCGTCGTCTTGGAAACCATTTCCTCTCGAAATATTGTCGAAATTCGTCAGAGTGATCCCTGCTAGTGATTCGTCGAGGTATCGAAAGAAAGCGCGCGAAAATTCAAACGCAGTTTACAGTGACGTTAATAAGAGATATGCTAATATCGGTGATGTAACTATTCTCGAAACATTTCTAAGGCTTTTCTACGTGTCAAATTGTCTTTAGAAGCGAGAAATGTGATTATTTGAATCACAATGCGATTCTTAAGTAATAATCGTTCTTCTTATATCGATTTTATTTAAATAATTCGATCGAGCCTGCGGATAAAAGTATTGCATATATTTGATCGTAATAAATATATTTCAAATGTTTCGATGATTATTATTAATTTTCTGTCGATAATAAAATCAATCATCAACAATTGTCACATTTTAACAATTAACAACGATCCATCTTTCGATCTTTGATTCCATTAAGAATCTAACAAATCAATTTTCATATGGACAGTTTAGCCGACATGGAATTGAATTAGAAGCATGATATTTGCGTGGAATCCAATTAGCATAATCCAATAAGATATTCCAACATCTTTTTCTACGATTCGACTTCGTCTTACGTTATATATTTCTTTTGACATATTTTATTATCGTATGATATACGATTTTTTTAATATTATTGATATTTATATTAGTACAGGAGAGAAGTTTTCAATTTTTTTTCGATATATCTTCTGCTTTTTTTTTTTAATGAAAAATTAAAGATTAAATAAGAATCTTTCAAATGGGACCATCTTTTTTTTTTTTTGCTTTTTGTCTTTTGTTTGTGTCTCTTTGCCATCGTGTATCACGAATTGAAGTTAATTCACTAATAGAAAACACAAGGACGTGAATGAAAGGGGCTAAAGAAAAGATCAGAAACACGACGAGTTCAATCTGATAAAGTAAGACAAAAATGGAAAACTACAAGGGAATAAAATACGTTGCAAAAGTAGAATAATTCAATCTGAAAATGAAAGAAATAAAAGAGATAGGTATCACAAAGGGATGAAAAGTCCATAAAAATCCAAAAGGGTCAATTTAAAAGGGAAAGGTAGAGAAAAGACTGACAAAAAAAAAAAGAAATAAAAATGCAATAAAAGAAAAGACAAAAAAGAAAAATGGTGAAATAATTATACAATTCCGTACAGTTCTAAATTTAACCTTAATTTTAATGCATATATCATAAAAGTCATTTTCCACAATTTTGTTCCTTTTTGTTATCCTTTTTGTTAGAAAATTAACAAAATTAAAAGTTTGAAGAACAACTAAGAATTATTGCAACTTATTAATACAATATTCTAATAATATACATTGAATGACTAAATTTAGAATTTAGATTCGATGGTAATGTAGGCAGCCACCTACGTCAAAGCCAAACTACAACATAACCTGAAACTGAATAACTTTCAATTTTCTAAAAAAAAAAAAACTGCCACAAAAGTACTCGCAATATCAACATTTTCTATCAATTAACACTCGCTACTTTTTTCTTTTTTTATCAACTTTTTAATATATACAATTGATGGATGGTTGAAGCTTTCTAAAGGTTAATTAGAGGAATGACCTTTACCTAACATGTATCAAGGTCGAGATCATCGAGCCGACTTACCTGAGAGAATCTCGAGAAGAGCTGAAAGGTCAGACAAGATAAAAAAAAAAAAAAAAAGAAAAGTCAATTTGAAATGGAAATAAGCTACGACCCTCGATCCCCCTCTTATAATTATACAAAAATGCATTTTCGATCGAATCGTAAGAAATTTCTTTTTTTAAAGAAATAACTCGTACGAAGGACGAGAATATTAGTGAAATAAATAAAAAAATCTCTCAACGCAAATCTTACGTATAATCTAACGTGTTATCGTGCTTAACGTTAATCAAAATAATATATATAAATAAATATATAATATAAATAAATAATTAAAATAATATTTTCGATTCATTTTTTTCGAATAATTAACCAAATCTCCTAACGTATATACAAACAATTATATAACCTCTTCACGTATCATCGTTCACAGATCGAGAAACATTGTACAATAAATTTTAAGAGAAAACTTTATCCAAAGTAAAAGGAAAAATGGAGAGGGGAAGGGGGGAAGGGAGGGAATAGAAGAATTGGAATCGTCAAGGAACGAAAGAGGTGAAAGATGCGCGCGAGCGGGATTCCATTTTCTCTTAAGCTCCATGTCCCTTAGCGAACCAGATAGATGCCTAGGAATTAGACTCGTGAAGCGGCCTTGTTGTTGTTGTGTTGGCAGAGTCGTAGCGGGCGGCAATCCCCGGAGCCTCGCTCGTCGTGGCCGACTGTCCCGGCTTCTGCAGTTCAAGCATAACGGAGGGTATCTGTATCGTTTCCAGAAATTCAAATAAAACGAGATCAGTACAAAAACGAGATACATGCGAAAAGAGAAAAATAGAAAAGAAAAGAAAAAAAATAGAAAAATTCGAAAGAAACGGAAATTCGGAGGAAAAGGGAGGGGGGAGCAATAGGATTTCGAATTTCGAAAAAAAAGAGATCCAGAGAGAGAGAGAGAGAGAGAGAAACAAAGCAGAGGTTGAGAGAATGGAGAAAACGATCGTGAAAATGGCGTTAGACTTGCGATTCGGATTGAGATTGAACGTTGGAACGAGCGTGTATTGCGAGAGACAAGGAAAGAGTGAGAGTGAGAGTGAGAGAGAGAGAGAGAAAGATATAAAACGAGGAATGAAAGTGACGGGAGAGCGATTGGTTTCGCGAACGTGAGGAGAAAGGTTGATTGGGCGAAGGAAAAGGTGAGTGCGTGAATGGTCGATCGAGAGGAATCGATGGAATTTGAAAGTGGAGGGGGAAGGAGACGCGATTGGTACATTCGAATTTCCCGCGCGAGCAATGGCGAGGCCATTCTTTCTCGCGTGGATACAGCAGAATAAATTTCATTTGTTTATATTATATTTGGAATTTAGATTTGGCGGGGAATACGACTTTCTTTTGATGGTGGAGGAGGATTTGCGAGTTTCTTTTGGATTCTAGGGAATTTTCGAACTGATAGAAAGATTATTTTAAAAATTAAGAAAATTAAGATTCGATTTTTCTGAATCTTTCAGAAATATATTCTATGTATATCTTAGCATTTTGAGGATTGAAAATTTCTCTTCTAGGGTTCAATTTTTTTTTTTTTTTTAATTTAACTATTTAATATTGTTCTACTATAATCATTATCAAAGTATTTTTCTTCTCTGATTATATTTAAAATACGTTTCAAAAAATTATAACTAAAACACATAATACAATTATTTCTCATGGACTCTTTTTTCAACATCCAATGTAACGCATGACAGCATTCCAAAAAAATAAAATCCATTCTGGAGCTTCCATTCTGCTTTCCGTCAGAATTATCAACCGCGTTATTTTCCATTATAAAACAACTAAAACACGTAACTTTGTCATGAACTCTTTTTCCAACGTTTTACCGTATGATAGAATTCCAAAAAAAAAAAAAAAAAAAAANNNNAAAAAAAAAAAAAAAAAAAAAAAGAAAGAAAAAAAAGGAGAGAAATAAAAAACCATCATCATCCTCTATCACAAATAAAATACACAGAAAAAACATAAAGACATAAAACTACTGCCAGAATTATTCTCTCTTATTTAAAAATTAAAATATGCTCAAATTTCTTAACTTCTTAACTTTTCTTTGCATCAACATCCTCGATCAAAACTAAAGATCCGTCCCTTGCATATATATATATATATA